ATAATAGATTTATGTTTTCAAATCTGCCAAATAATAAGCAAGTAAAGCTGAACGGCTCCTCGTATGTGAGGCCCCACTGGGACGACAACCCACAGAGACATCCTGCAGAGGTTGTGTCTCTGCGGTGTCCCCCTGGAAGAGCTGGAGAAGGTGGCGGGGAGCGGAAGGCCTGAGCGTCTCTGCATGACCCCGACCAGAGAAGCAACAGAAAATAGATGGATGGAGTGCAAGTAATATACAGTCTCTGCAAAACATGCAAATAATTATATAAAGTAAAAGTATATTAAAATGTACTTTTACTTGAATAAATCTACTGTTCAAAATCGGAAAAAATCAAGTGAAAAATTGTACAAAATTAAAAGCTTTTTAGAAATATATTGATTGGTTGTAAAGACTTGAAAACTGAAAAATCTGCACAGCGTGCGGAGCACTGCAGCCCTCGCTGTGGGAATCACGACTCCTCTGAACGACTCACTCAGAATTTTTAAACATGAGTTTTTAAAATCACTCCACAAATGAAAAATTACTCCCAAACAATCTCACTGTGTTATTAGGATACAATGTTGTAAAATTCATGGTTCTCAAACAAAAATGATGAAAAGGCCGTCATAGATTTGTACTGTGGAAATCAAATAATGACTGTACGTGTAAAAAATGGCATAAAACAGATTCTGCACTTAGACTAAGGAAGCTCTTTTGTATTGAAATTACATACAGTGATATATATAACATTATAAAAAAGTATATATAGGGAAATCTTCTGATTTGCACACATTCCAAGTGGACTAATGTATGTAAATGTTTTTGTACATCTCTGAAAGATGACATGGTTTCAAAGCAAAAATTAACCGCATGTGAGAGACTAAGCTCTCCTGAAGTTCATTTGTCGTGTACCAGAGGCATATATCGCATTTCTAAATAATTGCATTTCTCTATAAATTTATCTTTTTTCCTAGTTGCAGTTTGCTGAGTGCCCAGCAGAGGTCAGCCATGTCCCACATCAACAGTACCGAGCTGCAGTCTCTCCTTCTCTCCGTCCTGCAGCACTGC